CACTGTCCCAGGTGCTCTTGTCTCTTGCTTGCTATAAAAGTTGATGCAGTTAAAGGGAAGATCTCACTTTTTAAAAACACCTGAGCCCCATAAAATAATGTGGCTTGGCCACAACGCATCATAACCCAGACTGAGGCATACTCCTGAACCTCCCAGACAACTGAAAATCTGTAGTAAAAGCTGGATCCAATATGGATAGCCCATACAATAGTTTTTAATTCAATCCCAAGACACCAATTATATAATGTTCCACTGTGTATCTGTATCATAGTTTCATTTTGGGAAAAAAATACTTCCAATTTCCATCTGCTGTGGTGAACACACTTGTTCTCCTAATCTTTCAAGATAGCCAGATTCAAGATACCCGAATTAGAGGTTGGCAGGAAGGTGAGTAAAGCATCTTGATAAATTGGAGGGGGCAAGGAGGAGAAATCTTGCAACTCTGATTACACCAGGGTTGATGACAATGGCACCCTGCTATAACAAGGCCTAGTAAATTCAGCTCCAGGCCTGGCCTGGATCCTGGACCAATGCTCCAGAAAGTTGGTACTTCCTATAGCCATGTTTTCCATCACCCCAATGGATCAGAATCATGTTTCAGCTTCCAGGTGTAGTCCTAGACAGGAGGAATCTAGCTTTAGATAATGGTCCACCAAACACATTCTTGGATTTGTTTAAATGAGGGATAGTAAAGTACCACTAAGAATCAGGAAAACCTCCCTTCAGACCCCATAATCAATGAACATAGTGTATGCACATATTGAAGTTTCATACGCCTGACATCACTTCCTGAAGTAAGTAAAACTGGAACACAAGACATCCAATATGATATTACAACATATATTAATTTATGAACATTTATTAAGCACCTACCATACGTTAGATGGGCAGTGAGTTAGATAGAGTTCTGGCCCTGGAGTCAGGACTACCTGAGTTTAAATCCGACCTCAGACACTTACTACCTGTGTGACCCTGGGCAGGTCACTTAACCTGATTTGCCTCAGTTTCTCCATCTGTAAAATGAACTGCAGAAAGAAGTGGCAAACCACTCCCATATCTTTGCCAAGAAAACCCCAAAAGAGTCATGAAGAGTTGGACACAACTAAAAAATGATTGAACAACCACAATAATATGATAGGTAACGGGAAAACACAAATATGGTACAAATACAAAATGTGATAGTCCTAGCTCTTGTGGAGTTTATGTTCTACTAGGGAGATATGACATTCCCAGATAAATAAATACACAATATTGGAGGAAAGGGCATAGCGCTAATGACTGAGGAATGGGAAAAGGCCTATTGAGGGCCATGGGTCTTGAGCTGAGCCTTAAAGGGATCTATGGGTTCCAAACAGCAGAGGTGAGGAATTATCACATTTTATGCATGGGGGCTTCAGCCTATCCACAAGCATGGTGGTGAAAGATAGAATGCCATTACTTATAAAGGCAGGTAGGGCAACCCACCTGGATTATAGAAGATATGAGGGAAAGCATTTCAGCCTGGAAAGATAAGCTGGAGCCAAGTTGTGAAGGGTGATAAATTCTAATCAGAAGAGTTTGTACTTCACCTTAAAGGCAATGGGGTTGGGGGTGGGGCAAGCTGAGGTTTCTTAAACAGATGAGTGACATACTCAGACCTGTACCTTAGGAATATCCATTGGGCAACTGTGTGAAGGAGAGACTGTGGAGCTTGGATTCAGGCAGACTAGTCAGAAGGGTTTTGCAGTAGTCCATGTGAGGGGCAGCTAGGTGGTGCAGTGGCCAGAGCTCCAGGCTTAGAGTCAAGAAGACTCATCTTCCTGAGTTCAAATCCAGCCTCAGGCATTTACTAGTTGTGTGACTGTGGGTAAGTCACTTAACCCTGTCTGCCTCAGTTTCCTCATCTGCAAATGAGCTGAAGAAGGAAATGACAAACCACTCCAGAGGCCTTGCCAAGAAAACTCCAAATGGTGTCACAAAGAAATGATAGAACAATATGAGAAATATTGGGCTCTACACTAGGGTGGATGTGGATGAGTAGATACAAGGAGACAGATGGGGGAAATGTTTAGGATTTAGAATAAATGAGATTTGGTAACTAATTGGATGTAGGGGATGAAGGTGAAATATCAAGGATGATTCCTAAGTTCAAAAAGCAACTGACAGGAAGAATGGGGGTACATGACATAAATAGGGAAGTGACAAGAAGAGGCAGATATAGAAGGAAAGATGATGAGTTCTGTTTTGGAAATGTTGAGTTCGAGATGCAGGCAGTGGAAGAGGTGGAATTCGTATAGGATTTGTAGTTAGAAGATCTGGGTTTGAATCTTGGCTTTCTTTCTCACTACCTGTGTGACCTTAAGTAAGTCATCCTTCTGGGCTTCACTGTCCTCATCTGTAAAATGATGGGGGTTGAAGTTGATGACCCCCCAAGGTCCCTTGAAACTCTAAATCTGTGGTTCTACAATTCCATAATTTGTCTAGGACCTGTCCTGACCACAAAGTTACCTTCCCCACACACATAGCACTGCTTCAGCTCCATCTGAGTCTAGTGCCCATTTGGGGACTTCCCATCTAAGAACCATGTGGGAGGGAGTAGAGGACAGCAATAAAAAAATGATCAAAGGGAACCAGAACCTCTGAGGAAAGGGTGAAGGAACTGTTCTTATTTAGTTTGGAGAAGAGAGAAAGAGAAGTGTCTTTAAACTGTCTTACAATATAGGAAGGGCTATAATACAGAAGATGGTAAGCAGCTGTTCCCCATCTCTTTTGAGGCCTGCACAGGAAATGCTTCCTTGGGTCTACACTACCCGTCCACTTGATCTGTACCCTCACCTCCCACCAGGCAAATCTCCTGATGATCTGCCAAGTATAGTTCTTCCTTCCTCTGCTTTATATTTACACAGACACTCCCAAATACTTGGAAGAGCATTTTTTCTCACCTGCCACATGCACGTTCCTTCTTTCCCTTAAAATCTAACTCTAACCCCACCTCCCCTATATGGCATTCCCTGACTAGGCAGAACTAGGTGATGATGCTTTATCTGCAATTGACACATCCCTCTGTGTGAGTTTTTGTTCATTCATTCATTCAGTTAATATTTTCTTATTGTGGTTTTTCCTTCGTTCTCGAAGAGGACCAATGACATCAGGAAGGTGATGTCATGACTTGCAAGTGCATTGGATTTCAGTGAAGCAGAGCTGTGTGAAGACACTAGCCTCACTCTCTCCTCCAGAGCCATCTGGGTCCAACAGCAAGATATAGATCAGGACGACTGGACCAAGGCCAAGGTATCCCATGGCATCTGGGGCCATCTCCAGTCATCCTGATCTATACCTTGCCACTGAACTCTGTTGACTCTGGAGGAGAGAGTGAGGCTGATGACTTTGCACAGCTCTGCCTCCCTGAAATCCAATGCACTTGTAAGTCACGACATCACCTTCCTGATGTCTTTGGTCCTCTTCGAGAATGAAGGACAAACAACAATCTATCATGTTTTCTGAATACCTACTATGTGCCAGACACTGTGAAAGAAATGAAAATTAGTAGGAATGGTCCATGCTTCTGGTGGACCTAGGTGTCTAGAAGAGGAGAAAGAAATGTAAAAATAACTTTAATATGAAACTCTGTTTTTAGGGATATAAAAGTCATATAAACAAGTATTCTGAGGATAGGGATATTCTAGCTGGGGGTAATCAATCCAGGCTTTGTGAAGAATATGGATGGCTAAGTGTGTATATGTTCTTTCCTTTTTCTAGTTAACAACATCTCTATATTGTGTAAAATCTTGCACAAGCATTTAATACATGTCAATTGCTTTTTATAATAATGAATTACAATAATCAGGCTTCAAGTTCCATTTAGAGAACTTGTAAGCTATGTGAGTTACAAACTGCATACGTTAGTCAGCCTTGAAACCCTTTCCTTAGACATCTTTAAGAAGTGGAAAAAGAAACTGTCAGGGCTGGTTTAACCATAGCCTGGTTGAGATAGGGTAGGGTGGGGAGTAAAGGGGCTGTCATCCAAAGGTGGGATGGACAATGCAATGCCACATCTATTAAGTACTTAAGATACACAATGCACTGTGCTAAATGCTGAAGATAAAAACCCCTGAAAATACATAACTTTCCAATTCCTTAATCAGTACTTTTTGAGAAAGCAAAATATAGTAGTTATTTAAAAAAGATAATTTTGAAATGTTGTTATTATGGCATAGAACATTAAGAGTGAAAAGTCAATATAAGGCTGTTTCTATTTGGATACAATCGCAATCGTGGGAATCACTCTGGAATCAAAAGTACTTCGCTCATTATGAGATCTACATAGGGTTTCTTTTTTTATGAAAACCAAGACAGCTCACGATTTTTAGTTATCTTTCTTGATTACCAAAGTACTAGCTTCATAGTCTGATTCTTCCCTCTAGAAAGTTGAAGGTAAGAAAGGCATACACCTGCGGGAAGAAGTCTCCCATTAGTTCATATCAGACTGGGAGCAAGTAGCAACCTTCTCCTACAAGAAGAGAAGATGGAAAGCTCTCTCTCCTGCCAGAAACTTTGGAAGACAATATTCTTGCATATGATGTACTTGAAATGGGAAAAGTTGGCTGTTTACATTCCATTCATGGCCATAATTTGTTGGAGGAGTCCCCAGTGCAAAATTAATCTGCTACCATTTGTTTCAGTCTTGGAGTCATATGAGCTTCCACCAGCTAGTTCTCATATTTTTTAAAATCTATATGTCTTAGAATGGTATAGATGCCAAGTAACTATGGTTTCTACTTAGAATATGAATCCTTCATTTGTATTCAGTAAAAAACTTTGCATTGACATTGAGTCAATATAAAAGCAAGCCAAAGCCAAGTTCATATGGATTGCCTTTCTTGGAGTTCTCAGATTTTAAGTGTCAAAATTGCCCTTACTAACAAAAGCATTGCAACCACAAGAACACTGTCTTTAATTCAAAACATGAAGGGAGTACATTGCTCATTGTGTCACTGAACCTTTCATTTTTCTTCTTAAAGTGGTCTTGGACTTCTGTGTACCCTTCAATGTGGATGTGAAAAATGCAATGACCTTCAGTGGCCCAGTGGAGGACATGTTTGGATACACAGTTCAACAATATGAAAATGAAGAAGGCAAATGGTAAGTTTGTGGACTATTGTTTTGTGTTTTTCTATTTATTAATTTTTTAAAAATCATTCACCAAAATTGTATTGTTCTGCTTTTTAAATGCACTGTTTTGAAATGAACCATTTCTGAGCAGAACATACTTTGTAATAAAATTCTGCTGTAGAGAGATAGATTTAAAGTTGTTGTTGTTTTTTTTAATTCCCTGGCAGTAGGCCTTAAAGGATGTGGTCAGTGATTTCTGCTGTAGCCTGGCTTCACCTCAAAGGCCCTTGCCTAAAACCGTTTAGCAATTAAGCTGCTGTGAGGAGAGTTCAACATTTAACAAACATTTATTAAGTTCCTGCTGTGCTGTGTGAAATGGTATGAAGAAAAGATACAGAGTTAATTAAAATAGTCTCTCTACAACATATTTGACAAAGCTTTCTAAATTTTTCCTGGCAGTGTGATTAGTGCCTATGTGAATCACCTCTTAAAGTCAGACCCTGGTCTTCTTGGGGTTATGATATACCCCAACCTTAGATATTACTGCACTATAGCATGCTGTCTTCTATGAAGGGGCCGAAGTCATGACAGGGATACAGAGTAGTTTGATGTGAATGACAGAATAAGTAAGGTAGAAGAATAAAGATTGTGGTCAGAGTCAAATTGTCAAGTTTCAGACCTTGACCATGGTTTTGAAGAGATTTTGAAAGATAGTGAGGTTAAAAGTGTTGATATGTGTTGGTATGTGGCAAAGGGGTCAGAAGAAGGTCAATGGTGTTGAAGAATTAGAGGAATTCTGTATGTATGTCAGGGAGGGATGTCAGATGGTCATTGAAGATGATGACCAGGGTTACCAAAGGAGAGGAAGACCTTAAGTCTGGTGCTAAAGCTGTTGAAAAAAATTAGGTGAATGGCCTCAAGAGTTCTATAGTTATTCTCATTTTTGAATTCGAATGAGAGAAGGAAGGGCCAGGTGAGATCATTCTTTAAAATGGCTAATTTTTAGACTGGATCTCTGATTTCATTGGTCATGGAAACTCTCAGTGAGAAAACTCTACCAATGTATATCCCCCTCGGCAACTAATAGTCTTAGAGAGTTGCCATCTTAATCTGAGATTAAGTTACTTGCTCAGGGTCACACAACCTCTTAAACCTTGAACTTAAACCTTGGTCTTCCTGACATCCATTTTACTCCACTGTCCCTGCCTGCAACTTCTCAAAAGTGTTAACATACCTTCCATAATTACCTCCCTTCTACCAAAGGAATACTTTGTTCATCTCTTAGGTTTGGCTTCTAAATGTTTCCTAAGTTAGAAAGACAGCACTAGGAATGAGAACCCGACCCTGTTAGAATTTCTTATGAGTGTGTGTGTGTGTGTGTGTGTGTGTGTGTGTGTGCACGTATGTGTTTCTCCAGTGGTTTCTTGACTTTTTGAACAAATAACATATACTAGGTATAAAATTTTTATGGATGTGGTAGCACTCCATTGATTCCTATTCAATGTAGTTAATACAAAGCATGGGGTTTTGGAGAGAAAGGGAAGGAGTTTTATTGAACTATACTTCACTTTGAATACCCAAACTAAGCTTACCTTGTCCTCAGGTAATGACACTAATAAACAAAGCAGAGACAGTAACATTTATTTGCATAAAAGAGTTCCATTAATCTTCCATTATGCTCTCATAGAGGAGAAGGGCCACAAGGCTTCTCTGTTGAGCTATATACTTTAATATTGATTAACATAGTAGGTGACAGAACACACAAAGAGTCTGAAGACCTGAGTTCTAAATGTGCAAAACATTTTTGCATCTGCACCCACCCCAAATGCCAGTAATATAGCAGAAATATGTTCCAAATGTTGATGAAGGGCATGTATTTTTCCTAATGTTTTCATGAACGAGTGAACGAACAAACAAATGAATGAATGAATGAATGAATGAATGAATGAATGAATGAATGAATGAAAAAGCATTTAAATGCCAAGTATGAGCCAGGCACTATACTAGGATTTGGGGGATACAAATACAATTTTTGCCCTCATGAAGTTTATGTTCTCATTGGAAGAGATGATGCATCTAGGGCAGTAGTAGACAAAGAAGAAGGAATGGGAGGGGTACAGAGGGTCAGGAGCTAAAATAGACAATGGCTTGCCATATTTATGTCAGGGAAACCATACTATGTATATAATTTAAATTTTCTCAATTCTCCCCCTTTCTTGTAATTTTTGATGCCAGTTTTTAGGTTGTTAGGCTGTCCTTCAGCATCTTATTTTTTCCTTCTAGCTACAATGGCTCTTTTCTCCAACATACTGTCTGGTCAACCGTAAGCAGTTAATAACTCTTGAATTGAATTATGCCTGAAATTCAAGAAGCTGACACCAGGTAAATAGGTTGTGGAAAAGAAGAGGAAAACTCAAGAGAAATCTAGAAGAACTGATAGGACTTGATCATAACTGAGATGTAAAGGATGAAGTTGCCAGATAAAATTGAGCAGAACACAACTACAGTTTGTCAGAAGGGAAGAGGGGCATCCCAGCCCTAGTACAAGCAGACACTACAGCAGCCCTCTGAAAGAAAGAAGTCAGCTAACAAGCTTTCTTTGAGGAAATCTATTTTGTTCCTGGCCCCGCTCCAATCCCACTAGCTTTCCTAGAACTCAGCTTCTGCCCAAGTCTTGGCTTTCACTCCTATGTTTGCTCTAGACTGGGGTCACCTCACTAAAATCAGCTTTCCTCCTGTTGAGACAGATAAAGTCCTGGGCTTGGAGCTAGGAAGACTGAAGTTCAAATCTTGCCTAAGATATTAGCTAACTGTGTGAACCTGGACAAGGCACTCAAACTCTTTCATACTCAATTTCTTAATGTGTAAAATGGGGATAATATGAACATTTACTTCCCAAGATTGTTATAAGAATCAACATAATAGATATGATAATAGTTATAGAGATAATAATTAATATTCAATAATTATTATTACCTAGAAAATATTTATCTATGTACTATATATAGACATGTATCTTCATATGCCCCAAAATATTATATATTTATCTGCAATATAATCTATAATAATATGGTAATAGATATAGGCATAATAATAGAAAATAGATATAAAATGCTTTGCAAACCTTAAAGCAGTCAGCCAATAAGTGTTTATTAAGTGCCTTCTATGTGCCAGGCACTGTACTAAGCACTGGTGATACTAAGAAGGGTAAAAGACAGTCCCTGCCCTCAAGAAGTTCACAATCTAATCAAGGAGACAAGATGCAAACAATATGCACAAACAAGCAATATATAGAATAAATTGGAAATAATCAACAGAAATTAATAATCAACTAGATTAAGAGAAATTGGAAAGGGCTTCTTGGAGAAGTTGGGATTTTAACTGGGACTTGAAGGAAGCTGGGGAAGCTAAGAGATGGAAATGGGGAGGAAGAGCATTTCAGGCATAGAAGACAGACAATGAAAATTCCCGGAGTCAACAGATGGAGTATCTTGTTCCAAGAACAGCAAAGAGGCTAATGCGGTGGAGAGTAAGATGTTAGAATATTGGAAAGGTGTGTTTTTGGTTTTGTTTTTGTTTTGTATTGGGCACAAGTTATGAAGGATTTTGAGCATCAGACAGAAGATTTTATGTTTGATTCTGAAAGTGATTGGGAACCACTGGACTTGAAATCACTATATAAATGTTGGTTATCATTAGGAATGGAAATATGGTATCCAAAGACCTAAAGTCCTACCTATTTACCTATCTTCCTCCAAGACCATCTCACTGTGCCTCTCAATGTCCCAGGCTCTGACCTTCTTCTCCACCATAATACTGCAATTGGAACTTGCTCCTTTTCTCTGTCTTTCTTGGCTCTTAGATGCTTCTTCATCCAAATTGGGACTTACAGTCTTCTGGATGCTAGAACTAGGACTACACTAACCCCTCCTCCCAGTACTATACTGAGAGAAGAGGATAGGTCTGGGCAGAGAAGGTCAAAGATTTGTGGAACAATGCTAAGGGTGCTAGAGCTGTATTCAGAGGACCTGGATTTGAATCCTACATCTACCTAATACCTGAATGACCTTGGGCTCCTGAAATGGGGCCTCACTCACCTCATCTGTAAGCTAAGGAAACAGAACTAATTGATCTCTAACTACCCTTACAACTTCTAACTCTAAATTCATGACTTTAAACTGCTATGACTCCAAAGGTTTTGGCCTGGGTGGTTGAAAAAAAATGTTATCTACATTTTATTATATTTTTATTTATTTTCTTAAATATTTTCCAATTACATTTTAATCTAGTTCAGGCCACACTCAGAAGTATTGTTTGTGTTTGACACATCTGTTGTAAGTAACTGAAAAAAAAAACTTCCCTCTCCCCTCTCAATTTCCAAGCCAGGTTGCATGCATGGTAACAGCATATAGTATTTAGACTTGTAACAAAAAAGAAAGTGCAGAAACATTTTTTGAATATGCTATAAATGTTTATAAAACTATAAAAGAAGCAAAATGACCTAAAGGGACATTTGTTTTCTGGGAAGCTTTTTTCAGGGCTCTGTTCAGCACAATGCTAATTGATTATTCCTCAATGAATGGTAAACAGCCACAATATTAGTTTTAAAAGTTTGTCAACAAGTGAGATTGGCTTCTCTTCATGCTGTAGTGCAAAGAGTACTTGGTGAGGAACCAGAGGGCCTAGGTTCTAATCCTACTTCGATGAGTCACTCTTTCTGGACCTCATTTTCCTCACCTGTAAAAATTATCCTTATTAGGGGCAGCTAGGTGGTGCGTTGGATAGAGCTCCAAGCCTTGGAGACAAGAGGACCTGAGTACAAATACAGCCTCAGACGCTTGATGCTTACTAGCTGTGTGACCCTGGGCAAGTCACTTAACCCTGATTGCTTCACAAAAAAGTTTAAAAAAAAAATCCTAATCTATCCAGAGGTCAGGTGACCTAGTACGTGCCTGGGCTCTGCCTCTAACTAGTGGTATACCTTTGAGCAAGTTATTCAACCTGGATTAGATTTGACCCCAGAGGTTTAT